CTTCTGGTTTTTGCTGAAAAATGGTATCGCCGATCTAACCTTATTGACGTTATTTCGCGACTCTGATTAGAGGGTCTCTACTGATACACTGTGTCACACCGTGTCATCTGTGTCGCTTGTTGGGAGGCACTCTTTGTTACGCCTGACAAAAAGAGATGGAATACATGTTTCTCATCATACTCAGACATTTCAGCGACTGAAAATAATTGAATTCGATTCTTCATATTATTCTGCCAAAAAGCATCTATATACACTTTATTTGTTGTGGTCAAAGTTACAATTTTATGGGGGGGCTACATATGTGGTATATAAAAATTCACACATACTTATTAGCACTTTGATCCAGCTTTGACCGTTATAGGCGTTTAATTCCTTCCTTGTTTGTAGACAATTTACGGTCGGTACAAAAATTATTTATTACAATTTTATGTATAAAAAATCTAAACTTTGAACAAAAATTTCAAAAAAATTAGCGAATGAAAATGGTTGGACTCGATTACTTATATTATTCTGCGAAAAAGCATGTATATACACTTTCTTTGTTGAAGTGGTCATTAAAAAGTTAAAAACAATTTTTTGTTTAAAAAATCAAAACTGTGAACAAAAATTCTGAAAAAATTCTGTACGCTAAATTGGATCAAAGTGAACATTTTTTGTCTCTTAGACTTTTTTGATAATATCAATAGTTTTCGAGATAGAAAATGTCAGAGTTTGAAAAATGACTAGATTTACAATTTTCGTTCTCACGAACTAATTATCCAATCAGCACGAATAAAAAACGAAAATGTTCGGCCAATCTTAAACTTTAATGAGAATTTTTTTTATTTTAATCCGTACTGTTATTGACAGTGACCACTTTATTAGAATGAAGCTCTAAATGCTCGTCCGCGGCGCGTGAGCGATCTCGACGCTACGTTGCCACGTCGGCACGCCGACTATGTTGCCATGCTGTGTCGACCTGCCCTGCGATGCTATGAATCGCGTTGAGACTGGAGACCGCTCACGCGCCGCGGATGAGCATTCAGAGCTTCATTCAAATAAAGTTTTGACTATCAATAACAGTACGGATTAAAATAAAAAAATTCTCGTTATAGTTTAAGATCGGCCGAACATTTTCATTTTTTTTCATACTGTTTGGATAATTAGTTCGTGAGAACAAAAATCGTAAATCTAGTCATTTTTCAAGCTCTGACATTTTCTATCTCGAAAATTATTGATTTTATCAAAAAAGTCTAAGAGACAAAAAATGTTCAGTTTGATCCAATTTAGCGTACAGAATTTTTTCGGAATTTTTGTTCAAAGTTTAGATTTTTTAAACAAAAAATTGTTTGTAACTTTTTAATGACCACTTCAACAAAGAAAGTGTATATACATGCTTTTTCGCAGAATAATATAAGTAATCGAGTCTAACCATTTTCAGTCGTTAAAACGTGGGATCTAGATTTAAAAAAATCAAAACATTGAACAAAAATTCTGAAAAAATTCTGTACGCTAAATTGGATCAAACTGAACATTTTTTTGTCTCTTAGACTTTTTTGATAAAATCAATAATTGTCGAGATAGAAAATGTCAGAGCTTGAAAAATGACTAGATTTACGATTTTTGTTCTCACGAACTAATTATCCAATCAGCACGAATAAAAAACGAAAATGTTCGGCCAATTTTAAACTTTAATGAGAATTTTTTTTATTTTAATCCGTACTGTTGTTGATAGTCAAAACTTTATTTGAATGAAGCTCTGAATGCTCGTCCGCGGCGCGTGAGCGGTCTCCAGTCTCAACGCGATTCATAGCATCGCAGGTCGACACAGCATGACAACATTGGCAACATGCTCGGCGCGCCGACGTGGCAACGTAGCGTCTAGGGCTGCGGTCGAGTTGCCACTACGAATGCTTTGAAGCGTTTCTTGATTGGTCAATTTGTTAAACTCTTTCTTTTGATTGGTCAATCAAACGCTTCAAAGCATTCGTAGTGGCAACTTGACCGCAGCCTAGATCGCTCACGTGCTGTTGCCTATCAGCTGATCGGAGTGCCTGGATCCAGAATCCAGCTGTGCATCTGTGACAGCATGTGACAGTGCGTTTGACAGCTTGGACGGGGCCATGGTATAAACACAAGGGTATGCTCATCCAGTGGACGAATTTAGAAAGCCTTTGTGCATCACTCAGTTTACGTCACATTCGGCTACTTTGGGATGCTTTCGGAAGCTTTCGGACTCTGAGTGCCAATGAAATATGGGCTGTCGTATTTATGATATTCGTTAAAGCGGTAAAGTAAGCAAGAGTTTTTATTGAAAATAATGGCTGTTTGTGCAGTAAAAGTCTGCAATAATTATTATCGAAAAACGGTAAGAATGAAAGGAGAGGAAATAAAATATTTCAGGTTTCCTAAAGACCCTGAAATTGCTGCAAAATGGATCGAAATGTGCGAGGAAAATGTAAATTTAACGCATGGTAAGGTTGAAATATTGCATATTAACGCATAAACAAATTGATAGTGTAAATGTAAATAACTAATCTGGTTAGGTTAACTTTTTACAATCAAACAAAAATATCACGAAACTCTTGGTGAAAATTTGTCAGAATTTTTACATGAATTAAAACGCTTTCAGAAGTATTGAGAAAGAATACACTTTTTCTTATAATTTTTTATTATATGTGAATTCGTATAAACATTCGTATAAACAAATCTAGATTTTAAATTCTTTATTAAAAATATTTTTAAATTATATGAAAAATTTTCACCAAGAGCACTGACAATTTCATCGATTAATACTATTGTACAATTCCACCTTATTTATTTATGTATTTATTTATGCTGAAACAATAGAGGATAATAATAAGGGCAACTCTGAGAGTCAACGAAACATTACAAATTAAATTTTCCTGTATATAAAAATTTTGAATTTAATTAAATTTCGTATGCATACATGACATGTTTCGGCTCCTTGATTGAGCCTTCTTCAAATGTAATGATTATCAAAATTTCTTAATAAATATAGTCATTACTTACCCATCGTCAAATGCAAACGCGCGGCTGGATAGGACCGCCCAGCGAAACGCGCCGCGCGCGTTCGCCGTTGCTAGGCGTTGTTTATAACAAGCGTTGTTTATAACAAGCGGCAATAGTCGTCGCTAGACATGAGTCGCGTGCCTAGCGACGGCGAACGTGAACGCGCGCGGCGCGCTTTGCAGGGCGGTCCTATCCAGCCGCGCGCTTGCATTTGACGGTGGGCCGGGCGAATTTAAATATCTTTATAAATTAATATCTCATTAACTATTACTGTAATCGCAAAATGGTACAGGACTTTTCGACTTAGTATAGTCTGTTCTACCCACACATGAAATATTTGGCGGTTAATTTCAAACACTCTGTATATACATGTTATACCTATTATATTACATATTAGTTATTATATATACACATATACCTGCAATTGTTTTTTTATTCATTTCATCGTCCATTCCTCAAAAATAAGTTACAAAAGAATCTTAAATGATCATTATATGTATATATTTTTTTTGTAAAGAGAGCACAATAAAAGTTTTTTGCTAATTGCGTATTTCTACAATAAATAATGTGAATTGCTTTTCAAGAAAAGTATTAATTGTTACTAAAAGTGTAAAATCACCTTCCTTTATATAAATTATTTCACAATTTATATAATGGAAGATGATTTCTTTTTCATTTTTTGAAATTATTTGTGATACGATTAGAATAAATTATTTGAATTTAGCGGCGAGAAATCACGTTTTTAAAGTCAATCTTATTAGAAAATACCGTAATTCAATACTGTATGTAGAAGTACTAAGCAAATGCATTTTGAATTTGCCGCTTAATGTGACGTAGACTGAGTGACATTTCTGATTGGTTGTCTGGAACTATCATGCGCGTGAGCATACCCTTGTCTTTATACCATGGACGGGGCGGCCCGTTCATCGAGCTATTAGCGTGCACCTACTATACTGGACAGTAGTAGGCGGATGTGCGTATTCGGTAATTTTTAGAATATCTATGCTCCGTTGCTATAGTGTGGTATAACCTATAGTACCAAAAGCGTCTAATTTGACGGTACTGGTAAAATAAATATCAAAGATAAAAAAAACGAAAGCGTTTGTTGTAACTGTTATGACAAAATTGATGTCAGAAACATCTTTTATGATGGTACTGATTTATACTGCCATATACATGTATACAATACTTTGTTACAAATGCCAGAAGCATCTGTCTTGTCAGTACTCGTCTGTATCATCATATGTGTGTATAGAACAATTTGCTAGAAATGCCAGAAGCGTCTCTTTTGACGGTACTGGTATATAGAATAAATATCAGAGACGTCTAATCAGACAATACTGATTAAAATAATTGTCGAAAGCGTTTATTCTGACTGTAATGGCAGAATAAACGTCATAAGCATTTATTGTGATGTTACATGTTTGTATTACCATTAGGCCTGCAACTCACCCTCATTTTCGTGACTGTTCGGGCGAACGCTATTACCGGCGAAGTGGCCGGGGTTCGGCTGGAGCGCGCTGCGTGGGTGGTTGCGCTCACCGCGCATAGCGACGGGCGCATCGTCTTTTGAACGCCTTTTGTTTATAACAAATTAGCTAGCGACGACGATGGCTTGATCTCTTTGATAACTGCATATTTCTCCTTGGTAAAAAACCTATTGGAAGTGACGAAAGGGCCATCACGAATACATTTATCCACCAGATTTAAATAGATAGCTCACGAGAGATCTCAGATTTGAAGGTAAGAGAGGAAATGGGCCTCTGATTGATTACTATCAAACGAGATTATTCACTCGCTATTTCGCCATACGCGGCTCCTTGTTCCCTTCTCTCTCTCTCTCTCTTTCTCTCTAAATCTCTCTAAGATGCTCGAAGACGGCTCGAGCGATGAGATATCATAATGTGATGAGCCCGATGACGGTCTCGGGCTCGCGTCATGACGCTTCGTCTCGCGTCACATAACGTGTCGCATAAAGGCATCTGACGATGGTCTCAGGCGGTGTCCGGCCAACACCGATGCCTTCGGAGCTCGATACATGGTTCGAGCGTGATCCGCTGTCTCACTCTAACTCACGGGGCTCGATATACGGTTCGAGCGTGGCCCGCTGTCTCAAATCTCCGAGTGACAGACAATACCTTTTCAATCGCTTGGAAAACTTTAGTAACTCGTTACGAGAATAAGCGAGTGCTCATTTCCGCCCAATTAGATAAGCTATTTGGATTAAAGCCTATTAAATCAAGATCAGCAAAGGAGCTCAATACAATGATAGCTACGGTCAGCGCAGCACTTGGAGCGCTTGAGGCTCTGGATTGTAACATTAGTGCTTGGGATCCGTTTCTCGTATATCACTTAGCACATCTTTTAGATGAGAACACGCGTGAGGAGTGGGAAGTAAAATTAGGTCCGTCCATGTCTTATCCGACGTTCAAGGAATTCGAAGACTTCTTAATCGGTTATACGCGAGCGTGGGAGAGCTTGACTCCCGTCCCAGTCAAATCAAACAAGGAGAAAAATCGATCGTCTTGGCCGCAAAACAAACCGGAAGCAAAATCTCACGGTCTGGTAGCATCTGCTTCATCTAAAGGTGAAATGAAGTGCCGATTATGTAAGTCCACGCATTATTTGTCAAATTGTCATAAATATTTGTCACTGCCAGTTGAGCGTCGGAGACGCACTATTTTCAAGCTAAATTTGTGCTACAACTGCTTAGGAAGTCATAGAGCTGATGCTTGTCCAAGTTCTCACACCTGTAAGAAATGTCATAAGAAGCATCACACCACGATACACGATGACTACAAATTCTCAGAAAAGTCGGCAGCTAAAACGGTTTCAGATTCGTCTAATGACACCAAGTCTTCTCTTGCTTCTCCTTCAATTTCGAAATGACTAGATACCTTCGCCGGTCATGCCGAACGATTCGACAAGCCAAGGTCGCTCACTATACTTGCCACATGTCAAGTGAAGGTAAAGGGTCGCGACAATCAATATGTACATGTCCGCGCGCTTTTAGATCCTGGATCTGAGTTATCCTTTGTTACTGAAGAGTTGATAAATTTGTTAAAATTACCTCGAATGCATGCTTCAATTCCGTTAACCGGCATCGGCGGGACGTATTCAGGACGTACAAGAGGCTCGGTTTATCTTACACTTCATTCTATAATAGATGATTCGGATTCTTGCGTATTAAACACATTTATTCTTCCGCGACTAACGTTTCAATTACCGTTTCAATATCCTTCGAGGTAGCTAACGAGTCGTGGACGCATTTTAGACATCTTGAGCTTGCGGATCCTAATTTTGGAAAGCCCGGTCCGATTAACATTATTATTGGCGCAGATTACTATGGCCAAATTATCAGACCCGAGTTAATAAGAGGCAATTCATCGTCACTCATCGCGCAGTCGACTTTATTTGGTTGGGTAATTTCCGGACCCGTCGCATCTACTAGTCACGGTCATAACGGAAGAAATTATCATTGTATGATTGATCGCGATCTGCAAGATCTTCTAACTTGCTTTTGGAAGCAAGAGGAAATTCCAACGTCTAACGCCAACGTTTTAAACCCTGACGAAGCGCATTGCGAAGAACACTTTCTTTCCACTTTCTCTCGAGATAACAGCGGTCGATACATAGTCAGACTTCCTTTGAAATCATCGGCAACACAATTAGGAGACTCAGAGTCCATAGCACTTCGTTATTTGTCGCAACTGCGTCGAAAATTTGAAAAAAGGCCTTCTTATTGTCAATTATATACAGACTTCCTGAAGGAATATCAGTCGTTAGGTCACATGACTCCAATAGAACATTCTCAAATTCACGATTCTCCTTCATTCTATTTGCCACATCACGGAGTGTGGCGCGAAGACAGTCAGACAACCAAACTTCGAGTAGTTTTTAATGGATCAAGCCCTTCAAGCAGCGGCGTGTCGCTTAATGACATTTTACATGCAGGCGCCAAACTGCAAACGAATATCTTTGATGTATTGTTATGGTTTCGATCTCATAAATATGTTTTTTCATCGGACATCACCAAGATGTACCGACAAATCTCAATTCATCCGAACGATCGCAACTTACAACTTATCTTGTGGTACAACACTCACGGTAAAGTGCAACCTTACCAGCTTACAACGGTAACATACGGATTGAATTGTGCTCCATTCTTGGCTCTTCGCGTACTACAGCAGCTTACCGTCGACGAAGGTCATCGGTTCCCAAAGGCCATACCTGCGCTAACTAAAGGAAGGTATGTAGATGACATTTTCGGTGGTGCAGAATCGATCGATGAACTAAGGGAAATAATAAGCCAGACTACGCAGCTTTGCATGGCGGGCGGATTCCCTTTACAAAAGTGGAATAGTAATTGTGCGGAGTTGTTAAGTAGCTCTTCCGTAACGCCAAATGATCAATTAAACACAGTTAAATTCGGTTCCTCTCGTGTCAAGGTGTTAGGCCTTTGCTGGCAACCTCTCGCGGACACCTTTACATTCATAACAGTGCCATCTTCCCATCGCAATGTCACTAAAAGGCTTGTTTTATCTGAGACAGCACAATTATATGACCCCTTGGGTCTCATTGCACCAGTAACAATTCGAGCAAAAATTCTCATCCAAGAACTTTGGTTATTAAGAATAAGCTGGGACAAGCCTTTGCCTCCTGATTTACATTACCGGTGGTTGGTTTTTAAACAACAGTTACAAGCGCTTAGTAATTTAAACATTCCACGATGGATTAATATTTCGTATACCGCTCTTTCCATCCAATTGCACGGATTCTCTGACGCATCTCAACTTGCAATGGCGGCTGTAGTGTATCTCAGAGTCGAAACGCCGAACGCCGGAATTCAAATCAATCTTGTTTGTGCCAAAACTAAGGTGGCTCCCTTAAAGAAACTTACGATACCTAGACTCGAGCTGAATGCCGCATTAATGCTGTCCCGTCTTGTATCAAACGTTCGGAATGCATTAGCCTTGGAAAATAATTCAATCTTTCTTTGGACTGATTCATCAGTTGTTCTTACTTGGGTCTCGTCACATCCTGCGAGATGGAAGGATTATGTTCGTAATCGGGTGACGATTATACAAGAAATAATGCCCACAGCTACATGGCTTTTTGTTCCAGGAAAGGAAAATCCTGCCGACTGCGCGTCCAGAGGATTAAGCGCTCACGATCTTGAACAGCATTCGCTATGGTGGTCAGGGCCACTGTGGTTAAGTAAAACCCCTGTCAATTGGCCTAACATGCATATTGCCTCCTCAGTTAACGCAAACCTGGAAGAAAAGTCGAATCAAATACTTACTTCGTATCAAGGTAGCCAATTCACATATTGGGAACTCCTCGAGCGTTACTCGTCTCTTACGAAACTCTTACGGATCACGGCCATTTGCAAACGTGTAGCTAGTCGTTTCAGGCGACTATCAGCAAAATCCATAAAGGAGCCTCTTACTCCAGCGGAATTAGTTCAAAGTTGTTATTTTTGGATACGTCAAGTCCAACAGAGTTATTTTCCGCATGACATTACAATACTAACGAGAGGTGGAAATTTGCCTAAATCGAGTCCCTTAATCCGACTTATACCTTTTATAGATGATCTCGGTCTCCTTCGTGTAGGTGGGCGATTACGGCACGCGCCTGTTTAACGGAAACGGACGTTAAACATCCATTTATCCTGCCTAAACACTCAGTTTTAACGACTTTAGTGATCGCTGATGCCCATGCTAAAACCTTGCATGGTGGGACTCAAATTACACTGGCGTACATCCGTCAACATTATTGGATCTTAGGCGGACGAAATCCGGTCCGAGCTTTCATTCTTAAATGTATAGTATGTGCCCGACATCGCCAAAATCGTGCTCAACAGCTGATGGGTCAATTGCCGATATCAAGAGTGACGCCCTCTCGCCCCTTCTTACATACAGGGGTCGATTATGCAGGTCCCATAATGTTAAAGACTTGGCGAGGGCGGGCGGCTAAAATCTACAAAGGTTATTTAGCCATTTTTGTCTGCTTCTCTACCTCCGCTGTACACATCGAAATTGTCACGGATTATTCTACGGAAGCCTTCATATCAGCTTACAAACGTTTCACGGCTCGACGTGGCATTTGCGCTACCCTGAACAGTGACTGCGGCACTAATTTTGTCGGCGCTGATCGCGAATTAAGACAACGTTTTAATACAGCATCAAAGGAACTACAGGAGTTGGCATCAATCCTTGCCAATCAAGGCACAGAATGGCGCTTTATACCACCAGCCGCACCTCATTTTGGAGGAAAATGGGAGGCTGCAGTTAAATCCACCAAACATCACCTTCGAAGAGTAATCGGTGACTCGACTCTTACTTACGAGGAGCTTTCAACCCTTGTCGCACAAATTGAAGCGGTGTTAAATTCCAGGCCTCTTTGTCCCCTATCAGAGGACGCCGATGACTATTCAGCTCTCACTCCAGGTCATTTCATTTTAGGTGACGCTCCTACGGTTATACCGGAACCAAACCTTATAGACGAACCAAGCTCCCGCCTAAACAGATGGCAACTCATTCAACAGAAGGTGGAGCGTTTTTGGAAGCGTTGGAGAACTGAGTGCTTACAACGCTATCAGGCAATCTCCAAATGGCACCATCCATCGACTCAAATCAAGGAAGGATCCCTAGTGCTAATTTCCGATGAGCGGTATCCTCCAGCTAAATGGCCACTGGCTCGGGTCATAAAATTACATCCCGGTGACGATGGACTGACAAGAGTTGTCACAGTACGAACTGCCACTACCACCTTCAAACGACCCATCACAAAGATCTGCATACTACCGACCAACTAAGTAGAACCAATATTCGAGAATCATCTTCTCGAAGGCGGGCGGAATGTTCGGGCGAACGCTATTACCGGCGAAGTGGCCGGGGTCCGGCTGGAGCGCGCTGCGTGGGTGGTTGCGCTCACCGCGCATAGCGACGGGCGCAACGTCTTTTGAACGCCTTTTGTTTATAACAAATTAGCTAGCGACGACGATGGCTTGATCTCTTTGATAACTGCATATTTCTCCTTGGTAAAAAACCTATTGGACGAAAGGGCCATCACGAATACATTTATCCAACAGATTTAAATAGATAGCTCACGAGAGATCTCAGATTTGAAGGTAAGAGAGGAAATGGGCCTCTGATTGATTACTATCAAACGAGATTATTCACTCGCTATTTCGCCATACGCGGCTCCTTGTTCCCTTGTCTCTCTCACTCTCTCTCTCTCTCTTTCTCTCTAAATCTCTCTAAGATGCTCGAAGACGGCTCGAGCGATGAGATATCATAATGTGATGAGCCCGATGACGGTCTCGGGCTCGCGTCATGACGCTTCGTCTCGCGTCACATAACGTGTCGCATAAAGGCACCTGACGATGGTCTCAGGCGGTGTCCGGCCAACACCGATGCCTTCGGAGCTCGATACATGGTTCGAGCGTGACCCGCTGTCTCACTCTAACTCACGGGGCTCGATATACGGTTCGAGCGTGGCCCGCTGTCTCACTCTAACTCACGGGGCTCGATACACGGTTCGAGCGTGATCCGCTGTCTCACTCTAACTCACGGGGCTCGATATACGGTTCGAGCGTGGCCCGCTGTCTCATTCTAACTCACGGGGCTCGATACACGGTTCGAGCGTGGCCCGCTGTCTCATTTTCCTTCTCACTCTAGTCCACGGAATTTGAATTGCTGTTGGAGCGATGCCTCCTTTCATGATTTCATTGTTCTTGACAAATGCGAGCAATAAGTGCTACTTTCAATGTACAAATTACAAATGTTAATTACATTAAGCAAATCGATGCCCATCTGTTCCTGTATTAAATGTTTTACAATAAATTTCATTTTAATTATGTGACGTTCTCTGCCTTCGGAGCGTGTTCCCGCCACCCAAATTTACTACGAGCGTTCATAAACGGACAGTGACTGAACCGGCAAAGTTAAGATAACTCAACGAGACTATTAAATATCGAAAGTACATCATATTTGAATAACATAAACGAAAGTTTGCTAAAATTCGCGTTGCGGAACATAACAAAATGGCGCCTGAAAGGCGCGTCGCGATTGATTTACGTTTCATTTTTTTTCATATCGATAATACAATGAAAATGAACAAGTCAGTAGTGAATTTTATTCAGAAAATTGTGCTCTTTAAGGTGATATTTTTATACTTCCGTAATATGAAGTCTGAGATGCAAAATTTCGCCGAAATAAATTTTTTTCTAAAAATTTTGCGAGTTTTGTGTGCTATATTGCAATATAACTTTGTTGTGTTACATTTTCGTAAAAAAATGTTCAAACAAAAGTTGTAGAGCACACTTTTTTACATAAGAATACATACGTGCAATATTTCCAAAACCATCGAATCACTGCAAAAATCATTACACATGAAAAAATGTTGGTGCGTCGGCAATACCATGCGCAAATGTCGAGAGCCATGCAGCCCGACAATGATTTCCGTCAACATTATTGCGATTAATATTCAAGAACGATGAGAAATAATGACACGGATTACTGACATTTTTTATTATTCGGAATATTTGTGCACAATTTCTGTACGGTTTAGTTATATTTTAGTTAGATACGATTTTGTTGTTTAATAACTATTCTTAAACTTCTTAAATAATTAAACCGTATAGATATTAGTCACACACATTTTTAATAATAAGACAATAATTTTTTTCAGCCAGAGCTCGGTTAGCTTCAATTAAAAAATTTACTAACGCACTTTACCGCGGGAAGGTCTCGAGTTGGGCTTTTAAAGTGCATTTTTTTTGTATTTTTAAATTTTTTTTTGTATTTTTAAGTTTTTTTCGTCAAATATTGATCTAGCCTTGTACTAAAACGAAAACTATTTCTCTTGCGAGAAACGAAGCCGCCTACATGGAGAAAACAATTGAACGATTTTCTTACAGGACAGATAATACGCTCTTATAATCCAAAAAATACAGGCACTCGTCGGAATTCGGTATGCCTCATGCTTTTTCCTATGTGATAAATAATCAGCCGAATCAGTCCATATAATTTTGATAAAAAATTCAGAGTACTGAAAAATGTTCTCTTGTACAAATCTCTCCTATTTGATCAATAAAAAGGATTAAACAATATTTTTTATCGGCGAAACTGCTTTTATTTTAATATATTAAAAACATTATTTAAAATTAGGAACAAAAATTAATGGTTTTCATTCAAAAGTTCTTAATAATTTTATTAAAATTAGTTAGTATATATAGTTTATGAATCGCTGTTAAAAGCAAGAAAATCTTATGTAACGAAAATAGATAGAAACGATGCACAAACAAATAGTAAGAAAAGTGCAGTAATCCATTTTTCCATGTATAATGATTTTTGCAGTGATGATGGTTTTGGAAATATTGCACGTATGTATTCTTATGTAAAAAAATGTGCTCTACAACTTTTGTTTGAACATTTTTTTACAAAAATGTAACACAACAAAGTTATATTGTAATATAGCACACAAAACTCGCAAAATTTTTAGAAAAAAATTTATTTCGGCGAAATTTTGCATCTCAGACTTCATATTACGAAAGTATAAAAATATCACCTTAAAGAGCACAATTTTCTGAATAAAATTCACTACTGACTTGTTCATTTTCATTGTATTATCGATATGAAAAAAAATGAAACGTAAATCAATCGCGACGCGCCTTTCAGGCGCCATTTTGTTATGTTCCACAACGGGAATTTTAGCGAACTTTCGTTTATGTTATTCAAATATGATATACTTTCGATATTTAATAGTCTCGTTGAGTTATCTTAACCTTGCCGGTTACTTTCTTTTTAGAAGGCTTTTGACGGATGAGTTGCAGGCCTAATTTAGAGTTGCGTTGTAAGTCTGAAAAAAATGTTCGGCACGCGATTGAGAGAACTACATACGCGATATATAAATTCACACATAATGATAATAAGCATCTTGATCTAGCTTTGACCGATAGGCTTTGCTTTGTGCTTCCTCCTTTCTGTTATTGTTTAATTTCTTTGTGCTTTCTTCTTTCTTGTTATTGTTTAACAATTGTACGGTCGTAAAAATAAGATTTTATTATTTGTTAATTTTTTTTGTTCCCTCAATTTTTTAACCTCACTTTTTTTTCATGTTTAGACTTTGCTTTTTCCTCAGCAGCGTTTTTGGAGGGTGATGATGATCCACAACTGCTTAACTGAAAACTCATCATCTAAATGCAATCATTTTGTGATTGATCTATTATACATTAAAGAACCTATAACAAGAAATTCTCCAGCTCACCATGTGATCCGAATCGCGCTGATTGGCTTGGGGAATATGGCGCACAGAAAAGGTTAAAATGATAGTGACACAAGTAGCGGCCTTTATCTCCCTGTCATTGTCACTCTAACCTTCTCGAGTCCATGCGTCCCGAGCCAATCAGAGCACGAGTCAGATTACGTGATAATTTGGTGACCTGCGCATCTTCTCCACTCGACTTTTGCATAGTAAATACTTGATTCGTCTCGTTGCGTTGTCTCGAATAGTCTTGATTTCATTAATTCAGTTGATCATTGATATCCCGATATTTAACCTAATAAGTGATAACTGATAACCAATTTTATCAACGCCAGATAAAAAACGGCTTTTTCGTGTCGGTCATGATTGATCGTGTCTAGTCGTATCAGAAAGTTTTACAAACTGTTGAATCCGTTATCGTGTTTACTTTGTATCAGTGATACAAACATGTCTGATCAATCTGACTGTGATACAGTCGATACAGACGACTCACATACTATATCAGATAAAATTGTTTCAAGTGACAATAATAATAATAATAATGTTCACGCAGATTCAACTATGAACATTTTGAGTCGTTTACCAACATTACTTGTCCAAATTTTACAAAATTAAAGAAATCAAAGGGACTTCATTAATTGTGGAATGCACAGAATGCATTTGTTCAAAAACACTTTCAACGCCCATAAACAGCACAGGAAATCTGTACAAACATTTAAGGGTAAGTATTTTTATGTCATTTAATATTATTTTATGTTATTTAAGTATTTTTATGTGTTATACAAATCTTTTTTCTTATCCTCCAAGACAGCTCAGAATATTTATGATAAATATTCATTATAAATATTAT